AGACCGGTTTCTATAGCCTTGGTTGGCAACTGGTCTACCGCAGAAAGAAATGGCAACCTACTGCGGGAAAAAAATCTGCCTCGTCAGTCATGTATCGAAAGATATATGATCGCCTACGCGTGTATCACGCATGGCGCACTGACTAACCTTGTCGATTCTATTTTTCGCCTTAGTAACTGTTGCAATATCCTCACCTGCAAATGATCATCTTTTGACTTCTTTTTTTTAGAATCTTTCAGATCCTTGATTGCAAAGATTTCAATGCGTTTTATTTCATAGTTTACATTAGATTCTTAAATCTTCCATTTTTTTATCCGTATTTCTTTCTTGCTTTCTTTCTTCATCTGTTAATTTTAATCTTTTTTTTTCTTTTTTTTTCAATTCTTTGATTGCTTTCAATAAACTTATTCTTTCTTTCTTTCTCTTTACCTTCATTCAGTTTCCTCTTTCTCCTTAGTCCGTTTCAGTTATATTTCTAACTAACCCCCCCCCTCCCATTCAGTGCTGTTTCTTTCTTACTTTTTTCAATCTTTCTCTTTATTCATTTCAGTTTTCTTGCTTCTTCTTTTGTCTCTTTTTCAGGTTTTCTTTCAGCTCTTCCTCTCACATTCTTTTCTTTCTTTTTTTTTCCTTATTTAATTTCTTTCTTTCTTTTTTTTTTCTTTTCTTTCATCCTTCCAGCCATCCTTTCTTTCTTTCTTTCTTTTCAGTTTCTTTTTTCTTTCTTTTTCACTTACATTTTCTATTTCATTTCTTTTTTTTTTCTTTCTTTCTTTTCTTTCCTTCTTTTTCATCCTTCCAACCATCCTTTTTTTTTTCTTTTTTTTCTTTTTTTTTTTTTTTTCTTTCTTTCTTTCTTTTATTTTCTTTTTCCTTTCTTTCTTTCTTTCTTTCTTTCTTTTTTTCTTTTCTTTTCTTTCCAGCCATCCTTTTTCTTTTTCTTTTCTTTTTTTCTTTTTCTTTCTTTTCTTTTCTTTTCTTTCAGTTTTTCTTTTTCTTTCTTCTTTTCATTTTCTAGCCATCATTTTTTTTTTCTTTCTTTCTTTCTTTCTTCCAGCCATCCTTTCTTTCTTTCTTTTTTTTCTTTCTTTCTTTCTTTCTTTCTTTCTTTTTTTTTCGTCCGTTCCTTCCATCCTTTTTTTTGCCTTCTTTCCCCCTATCTTTTTTTCTTTTCTTTTTTTTTTTTTCTTTTTTTTTCGTTTTCCTTTTGCCTTCCCCCTATCTTTTCTTTCTTTCATTCTTAATTTTAAATATTTAGCGTTCTCCTTCTTCTTCTTCTTCTTCTTCTTATTATTATTATTATTAATATTATTATTATTTTTATTATTATTATTATTCTCTTTCTGCGTCTTCAATATCTTCCATATCTCTCTCTCTCTCTCTCTCTCTCTCTCTCTCTCTTTCTCTTTATTCTCCTTTACCATTGCTTTTGTTCTCCTCATTTTAATTCATCAATACTTGAAATTATTCAATAACTTTGTCGACTTTTATAAGTGTATGTTTTTCCATTAGAACAGCCACACTATACACAAAAGCGCCTTCGCTACTGGCCTATTAAAAATATCTTTACACTTTCTAGACATGTTCTCACACGAGACAATATTGCTTAACACTTAATCTAAGATGTCCATATGAGCACAATTTATCCACTACATGCAAAACTAGTTTAAGTGGAAAAGTGTAGGCCGGAAGATGTGTGTTTAAAATTGTTAAGTACTTGGATTTTTGAGAAGAAAGAACTAAACATCAATTTTGAAGAAAACTGAATGCACAGTTGTTGGCAAAAGCAACAACCCAACATGCAAATTAAAAATTGAAGATACCAAAATCAAACAAGTTCAACAATTTAAATGTCTGGAAAGTATTTTAACGGAGGACGGAGAGTGCAGCACTGAAATCTGAAAGTGTCATGGGATAGCGAAGGAGTGTATTAAGAAACAGGACAAAAATCGTTAGAAACCAAAGAAAGAGTAGCGAAATGTTATGTAATATCAGTTCTCCTGTATGGCAGTGAATGCTGGGCAATCTCCTCACAGATGAAGAAGAGACTTGAAGCAACAGAAATGTGATTCTACAGAAGGATACGAAGAATACCATGAACCGAACATGTGATAGATAGATAGATAGATAGATAGATAGATAGATAGATAGATAGATAGATAGATATGAGTAGACTGAGATAGATAGATAGATAGATAGATAGATAGATAGATAGATAGATAGATAGATAGATATGAGCAGACTGAGATAGATAGATAGATAGATAGATACATAGATAGATAGATAGATAGATAGATAGATAGATAGATAGATAGATATGAGTAGACTGAGATAGATAGATAGATAGATAGATAGATAGATAGATAGATAGATAGATAGATAGATAGATATGAGCAGACTGAGATAGATAGATAGATAGATAGATAGATAGATAGATAGATAGATAGATAGATAGATATGAGCAGACTGAGATAGATAGATAGATAGATAGATAGATAGATAGATAGATAGATAGATATGAGCAGACTGAGATAGATAGATAGATAGATAGATAGATAGATAGATAGATAGATAGATAGAAGTTAAATGTGCCGATTTCAAATTCCAGCCGAGGCAGTTGCATTCGCTATTACGCAAATACGTTTGGGAAAAGACTGAATCCAGCTTTTATCACATCTTAAGTAGCAGGAAAGATTGGGCTGTCGAGTTTTTTTTTCTAGAAGAACAACTTTTTAAATGGGGGAAAAGCATTCCACCTTGTAAAATCTATTGATTAAAGAATCTATAGCAGAAAAAAAACGTCGCCTAGTGAGGCTATGAGCCTATACTTCACGAGGTGATTACATTGTTAATAAAAATAGTTTAGCAGTTTTGAAGAACATAGTGAAGATGTGATGGACATGTAGCCTAGCGGTTAAAATATTCGCATTTTGGCGAAGAGACACTGGTTCGAATTTCAGTATAGTCAATTTGTCAGCAAAGTAAAGATCACAATGCTATCGGACTAGGAATCCTACAGTAAGTACCGTTGGAAAACGGCCATTATATATTTGCGTCAGCTTGGGAGTGAGAGAGAGAATAAACGAGCAATTTTATTTTCACACCCCAACATATATGCAACATATACTTCAAATTAAGTCCAGAATGTTCTGCCAATATTTTCCTTTTAATCAAAGACATAATAAATACTATTATCAGGGATTTGTCTCTTTGTCTTCGCCTGTGAATCAGACATCGGTAAGATGGTCCTCCCACGACCGAAACCACAAACTGCACTCAAATTCACAGGGTTTCGCAAAGGTCATAGCGGAGAATATATTTTGGAGCAAGGCCCACAGGTAGACGCAAATCAAGAGATGAGTGGAACGTATTAAGATGATAGGAGTTGGTACGATGTTAATATGACTCTTTCTTTTTCTAATCACGTAATTCCTTCTGAATGCGGCATTGATCTTTTTCGAGAAGTGCAAGGAAGCAAAAGAACATAAATAAAGCATTTGGAGAAACGAAAGGCAAGAGCTCTTATAACAGAGAAATAGAAAGTAAAAATGAAAGTGAAAGTGAAAGTAGACTATGAACCAAGAACTTTCGAGCTCGGATTTTGACAGGTTATATTTCCTTTTCAACACTATTTTTTTACTGTCGTTTTTATTTTTCTCTCTAGTCGGCAGTGTTTTTCTGTCACTTCTCATACGAATCTAATTTTACCTCTCGCCATTTTTCGGCACATCCTGATATTCCCTTTTAATACTCC